CCCACATTCCACAGCACCAGGTACCCCACCTCCTCAGTAAGGTCAAAGCTGCCATTTGGGAGTGCTTTCCCACAGCCTGAATGTCTGTTCTAACAGTACTTCACCAGATGGGTTCTAGGGTCCCCTTCCTTGAGTACCAGTCCTCAAGGGCCCTCTCGCTTACTTTGTGAGTCTCCCATCTCCATGTATCTCTACATCCTCCATCTTTCTCCTGTCCTCTGAAGCCATGACCCACCTTCAGGTTTCAGGCCTTTATGCCCTAAATTCACCCAGTTGAGAAACCATGGGTGGCCAAACACTGGAGGCGATGGGCCTTAGCTCCATTTCCCCCCAGCTCTCACTGGCAACTTCATCACTATCATGAGTTCAGCAAGCTCTGTCAGCAGCCGCAGCTGATGACATCTCTTCTCTGCTTCAGAAATGAGCAAGATCTTGTTTTCAGACCAGGCAAAGTAGCTTCCCTGACCATCTGCCTTTCCCAGCAGGGGCTAAGCAAGAGTTGATGGTGTAGCATTGGGATAGCCTCAGATAACACTGGCATATCTTTGCTGTTTCTCGTGTGGTCTTGTGGTCTCCAAGTTCAGTGATATTAAATGGGAACCAGACACAAACAATCCTTCCCATAACTCACTGCAGTGACCACTGCTGGTGGTAGCTGGGTCCTCCACAACTGAATCCCAAGCATGTTTTCTCAGACAGCCTTAAGTCACATATTCAGCTACAGGTAGGACCATATCACCTTCCACACTCTCAGGTTGTCTGTCCACTGGGATTTTGTTATTTCTTTATTGTTTTCACTGTCTATCTCAGTAGATAGAATGTGCCCAGATACAGGAGCCAATCAATTTTATATGCTGTTGTGACAATTAGGACAATGCCCAAAACAAAAATGGTGCTTGAGGAGTACTTGTGGGATACATTAAAAATGACACATTCAGGCAAAGGCCAAGAAGGTGACAGACAGGATAGAATGCTAGGTCATAACCAGAGTGGAAGTTTACACAGGGTGATGAGGAGGACATATTTAAATCATGCTTTATGAAATAATGCTGATGGGGAAAAGGACCAGCAGGTGGCACATACCTTTAGAGGAAGCCTGGTAGGCTGGAGAAAAGGAACCAGGAAAGTACTGCAGTCAGGGGAGGGCGACATTGGAGATGTGGGAGGTAAGGTGGGGTGACATTTAGGGTCTTGGGCTTGAAGGGATGGGGAGGAATTAAAGCTTGCACCAAGAAGAATGGGGATGCTGGGGGCTTAAGATAATATTGACTGGTCCATCCTACATTTGGAGCAACTCACTCAGGAAGAAGTCCTGCTAAGAGGCACGCTCTCATCTTCCTGTGAGGAATATAATCCTGCTTCCTTACCACTGGGCTAGCTCTGAACGCATTTGGATCTTGGCCACTTCATCAATCTGGTCTTCACATTTCTACCAAAGGTTCTGAACTCAAATTCATTGCCATGGAATTTCATATAAAATAGGTGGGTTTTAGCCGGGCGGTGGTGGCGCACGCCTTTAATCCCAGCACTCGGGAAGCAGAGCCAGGCGGATCTCTGTGAGTTCGAAGCCAGCCTAGGCTACCAAGTGAGTCCCAGGAAAGGCCCAAAACTACACAGAGAAACCCTGTCTCGAAAAAACAAAAAAAACAAAACAAAACAAAAAATAGTTGGGTTTCAGAGATGACGTTTAGGCACATCTACTCTGCAGCTTTTATTCCTGCACTTTCTCAAAATCCTCCTCTTGATTTGATACAGCTTCCCACATTATAAAAAATTGTACTGTTTTGTCCTGAGGTCCCAGAACTGGCTTCATGAATTTCATTTCTGTATTAAGTCAGTGGTTTGCATGAAGGGGCCCTGGGCAGGGAGACCCAGGTCTCTAAGAATGAGCAAACAAGGGTCTCACTGGAGCTCAGACCATTCCCTACAATTCTGGCAGGAAGGGAGAAGTGCTGTGCTTCTCTTGAGCTGTGGCTAGCCATGATTTTATGGAGGCCAAATCACTTTTCAGTGTTCATGAGAACTTGGCGGGGAGTACAGAGATTGACTTTGGGTATCTTCTATCATTTTCTACCTTTCACTGAACCTAGGGCTATTTTGGCTTGCCCTGGTCAGCAAGACCTGGGGATCCCTTGTCTCTGTCCCCCACCCCACAGTGCTGGGGTTAATGTGTCTAGCCTTTCATGGGTGTGAGGGATCTCAACCCATGCTTTTATGCTCATTCAGTAAGTACTCTACCCACTGAGTCATCTCTTCAGCCCCTAAATAAACTCAGTTTTAAAATAAAATTGTTTCTTGTTTTTCGTGCTAGGATGGAACCCAGGGCCTTGAGTGTGCTAGGGAAGTGCTCTTTATTGGTATTTTGAGGGACATTTCATAACACTGACATTAAAGGTGATGAAGCATTGCTTTCCTTGAACAGACAGTCCATAAATATAAATAAAAGGCAAAGAAGAAATAAAATGAACATGTTCGGCTCCTGACTTTTAGCTAGGTACTATCTGGGTGGGAGAGGGAACCAAGACTGGAGATGAGACCCACCCATCCATCACTGACTGATGCCAGCCTACAGTGAGAGGAGAAAAGCAGAACATAGTTTCAACTCACAAAGTGCACAACTGCACGTGTGAAATGAGAAAGGTAAGCTGGCGAGGTGACTTGGATGATACAGCTCTTGCTATATAAAGCCTGGTGACTCATTTGATCCCTGGTACCCACTCTAGAAAGAACCAACTTCGAATTTGTCCTCTAACCTTCACACATACTCATAGAAAACCTTAAAAACATCTTTAAAAGGGAAAAAGTCAGGCGGGCAATGGTGACACATGCCTTTAATCCCAGCATTTGAGAGGAAGAGCCAGGAGGATCTCTGTGAGTTTGAAGCCAGCCTGGTCTACAGAGCGAGATCTAGGACAGGCACCAAAACAACACAGAGAAACCCTGTCTCAAAAAAAGAAAAAAGAAAAAAAGAAAAAAAGAAAGAAGTCTTGCATGATGGCACACAATTTTAATCTCAGCACATAGGAGACAGAGGGAGGCAGATCTCTGTGAATTCAAGGGCAGCCTGGTCTACATATCAAGCGAGGCCAGTTAGAGATATATAGTGAGAGCTTGTCTCAAAAAATAAGTACTTAAAAGAAAACATTAAAAATGAAAAAGGCTATGTCTTAGTTTGGGTTTTATTGCTGTAAAGAGACACAATAACCAAGGTAACTCTTACAAAGGAAAACATTTAATTGGGGCTGGCCTACAGTTCAGAAGTTTAGTCCACTATCATCATGGAGGGAAGCATGGCAGTGTGCAGGCAGACATGGTGCTGGAGAAGGAGCTGAGAGTTCTACATCTGGATCCTCAGGCAGCAGGGAAAGAATGTACTATGGGCGTGGCTTGAGCATCTGAGACCTCAAAGCCTACCCCCAGTGACACACTTCCTCCAACAAAACTACATCTACTCCAGCAAGGCCACACCTCCTAATAGTGCCATTCCCTATGAGCCAATGGGATCCATTTTCTTTCAAACTACCACAGGCTACAAAAACAAAAACAAACAAACAAACAAGAAAAAAAAAAACAACAATGCCCACATTTACCAGTGGCAATGTGCTTTTACGTTTATTCCATTCCTTATCTTATTAAATCACAGACTTGCTCCACTAAACTGAGCTTCCCACTATGGCCCCAGGGGTTCATATACACTGTTAAGAATATTCAAGAAAACAAGAAACGCCATTACAAACCCAAGTCCTTCCCGTCCTGAGAGTAAAAGGTGACCAGGAAGGAACAGCCTTCTCATTGGACACTCCACTTTCTTCTCAGGCTGTCTTAACACATCTACTCCCATAACAGGCATACTGTAAGTGGACACAACTGAGTGTCCAGGGAATGCTGGTTCCAAGGTTCCTAAGAGTGGAGCAGGGGACTGTGACCTGAGCTGAGGACCATGCCAGAGCTTCCCCACAGCCATTCCTGTTCATGCACCTCCAGAATCAGGCTGGAGTTTTCCTCTAAATTATGGGGCCCTAATCTGCAGCATAATGACTGTATTAATCTCATTACTGCCACGGTGGCTTATCATACGCACAGAGCCTGAAAACACCACACGCTGATCCACTCATGGTTCTGGAGGTTTTTGAAAGAAGAAATCCGTAACTTCAGCCTGTCAAGTTTTCTGCAGGTGGGGGTGAGGGTGGGGTGTGGGGGTGTCTTTCTAGGGACTCCTGGCCTTTTAAAGAGATTTAATTTTAGTGATGGATGTATGTGCGTGTGAGTGCAGGTGCCCACAGAGAACAGGGGCTTCAGATGCCCTGGAGTTGGAGTAACAGGTAGTCATGAGCCGCCCAGTACAGGTGCTGGGAACTGCACTTGGTTCCTCTGCACACTTGGTGTGTGCTCTTAACTCTGAGTCATCTCTCCAGCCTCTTGGCCTTTTTAGCTTCTAGAAGTTGCTTATGGTTCCTTACCTTTTGGCTCTTTCCATCATCTTCAAAACCCATCCCTCCACAATCTCTGTCACTGCCAGTTGTCTGGTTGTGTCTTCTTGTCTGACTTATGTGGACCCTGGTGATTGTATCAGAGCCCCAGATGACCCCTGACAATCTTGTTGTGAGACCCTTATCTTAATCTCATTGGCAAAATGCCCATTTGCCACAGCAGGTGATATGTGTGCAGGCTCCAAGGATCTGGGGCATTTTAAGGAGGCATTATCTAACCATGGTAACTGGAAATAAAGAGGCAAGTGAGCAGTCAGCCAGCCAAGGCAGCAGCAACACCAGAGAAGAGCTCCAGCATCTGCGGCAGGTCAAGGGTCGGGGCCAATGAAGTGTTGCAATAAAGAGCACAGGGAAGAGTAAATTCCCAACTGGATTCTGACTCACAGGATAAACCAAGGTCTAGTAAGACTCAGGATCCTGGGTTTTAGCTGCCATGGATGTGAACCCTGGCCCACCCCGACAGAGCCAAGAACGTCAACGGTCGCCAGCCAGCCAAGTCCAACACACAGACAAATGGCAAGTGAGATTTATTTAAACAATGATAAGGGACAGGAACAGGATCTGGCGTGACCACCTTTGTAACCAAAGGCTCTGGGTGTGCAACAGGGCCAACAACAGAGATGAAGCCACCCATCCCTCAGGGGGCCCAGGGCACTCGCTGCTCCGCTAGAGACTTCAGCCTCCACCTTCAACAGGTTCGTACCTTCAGCAGATTAATAGGTTATCTCCTTCAAACCTAAGGGGAGGAACACACATGCGGTCAGATGCCTGTGGCAGAGCAAAGGAACTGGGGGTGGGAGACACTGCTACGTGTCCATGTGCCGGCCCTGGGCACCAGCTTAACTCACTGTTGGACCTCGCACTCTTCCAGCGTGAGACAAGATTTCAGAAGAAAGTGAGAGGTCGGGCCAGCTTTGGTTTATGGGTGGTTTAAAATGGATTAAGAAAGCATCTCATAACAATTTATGGGCTCTCAGCAGTAAATGTCCGAAATCGACCTGCTGACTGCTGAACTTTGGGCAAACCCAGAGCTGGCTCTTCACTGCGTGCTGACACACCAAAGAAGCCTGACATTAAACGGCTTATCCTACCCACGCGGGCGTGGCGCTGCTCACCTGCAAACAGCACTGGGAGGCCGAAGCAGGAGGACCACAAGTGTGAGGCCAGCCTGGGTTCCGACCACCCTGTTCCCAAAGCACATCCGCCCCCCCAAAAGGGAGGGAAACAAACATGAAAGCAGTTCAACTTACTGTTTAACAACAGTTAACTTAAACTCATTAGAAACCTGTATTTCCTGATGTTAAGATGTTAATATGAAGTTTGGGGAGTGGAGAAGAAAGGAAAGGCTATGGTTTATACTTTAATAAAAGGTAACTGTGTGTCAAAGTGAAGAAAAAAAAAAAGAAACCTGTATTTCCAAAAGCTTGGGGAGGTCAAGTACATTCAGACATAGTCTTGTGATAGAATTTAATACACTCATTACAGTTATGTTCTTCGAGAAGTTTAGTAGCAAGGGAGAAAATGTTATGACACATGATTAAACTGGAAAAAAATGCAGGAGTCCAGTTATATGCACATGTAAATTCAGCTCTCCTAAAGATAAGACAAGAGTTCAGCACAAGGGCAGAGGGTGAATAACCCAGGGCAGTGTCACACCCTCCTCGTGGTTCACTGCTTTCAAATGTGTGAGGTTCCGGAGTTCAAATCTTGAAACCTCAAAACATGAAGTCAGGTGAGGCACACCTGTAATTCTGGTAGGCTAAAGTAGGAAGAATGCCAAGTTTAAGGCCAGGCTGCTTTACACGTCTCAAATAATCAAACAAAAAAAAAGGCTAATTAATTAATTAATTAATTAATTAATTAGAAAACAGCAGAGGAAGCATCACTAGCGGCTGCCTGGGACCAGGCCTCAGGCAGAGCTTCTATGCTCTACTTTTTACAAGTTTCCCAAGTTCCAACAGCAATTTCCTTTATTATTAGGAGGTTCCAATATAAAACACAGCAACAAAGGGATTTCCATCCCAAACCACGTTGGAAGGACTCTGTGAGCTGAACTTCGGAGGCCAAGCAGGCTGGACTGTCCGCTGCCTGTCTACCAGCTGTCACTAAGACCACATTGTGGGAAGCTGGAAGGCACCTGGAATCTGATGTGGTCTTGCTGGGCTCTTCTGCTCGGGAGTAACCAGCTACTGGGAGCGAGAACAGTCAGCAGAGGCTGGACCCAAACCCGGAGAGCCAGGTGCTGGGGTTCTTGCTGGAACCCTGTGGTCTACCATGCCTGTCAGGAAACGACCCTCAGCCCTAGAGAGAGGGAGAAACTGCCCTGGAAGCTGAGTGGGTCTTTTAGAAATCAAACAGCCCGTGTATTAGTATCTAGTAAACATGGCTACGAGCTGGTGAGAGGGCAAACTCTGGTTATTTTTATTAAGATTATTACTTTAACCTCTCAAGGTTTTCAACCTTCCCAATTGTAGAAACCCCATGGCAGGCCTGACATGGGCTGTCTGTCTGTCTGAGGATTTGTGGTTCAAAGAATTTGCCTATTTCTGTGCTATAAAAACCTGAAGAGCAAACGATGACTTCTCTGGATACACTGTGAGTGTGCATACATATTTCCCCAGTTCTCTGAACCTGAACTGCTCGGTGTGCCTTTCATTTTTGGGAGAAAAAGCTGCCCTGCCCCCAGCCCAGGGGACAGAAGCACTCTCTTACCGAGCTCCTGGCCTCCGCGGGTGGCCCAGCACAGGCAGTAATGGCGCATGAGTTGCTCTAGAAGCTCCAGTTCATCCAGGAACTCGAGGGATTCTATTCTGTGCAGGAGTCAGAACAGGAGATGGAGAGGACCGTTAGGAAGGAAGATGCTGGTCCACAGTCATGACATGACACCACCTGGAAAGAATCTGGATACACAGCAGCCTGCATGCTGTGGCCAAGAAGAAAGGGGCTGGGAGTGTGGAGAGACGGCTCAGTGGTTAAGGGCACTAGCTGCTCTTCCAGGAGTCAGGTTCAATTTTCAGCAACCACCCACATGGAGGCTCACAACTGTCCTTAACTCCAGTTCCAGGAGATCTGGTTCCCTCTTCTGGCCTCTGGGGACACCAGGTACACATTGCATGTGCACAAGCAGGCAAAACACTCACACACATGAAATTAAGATAGATTTCCAAAAGGAAGAAAGTCTGGGAGTTTAGCTTGGGACAGCACACACTTTAATGTGTGGTCTTGGAGGGAGGAGGAGGGGAAGGAAGAAGAAGGAAGAAGAGGAGGGGCAGAACAAGGAAGGGTGAGAGGAGGAAGAGGAGGAGGAGGAAGGGTTATCACAAGTCGAGACAAACTAGAAAGGTCTCGGGAATGCTAATGGCAAAGGACTACTTTCTTTGCCCTGTAACTCTTTATAGATTTCTAAAATTTCAGCATGAAAAGCTTTCACATTAAAAGATGAAGAAAAGATCAATCCAACAGAAAAGAAAAACAAGAGGTCTTCAAACTCACTTATGAGAAAATAAATATAAATGAAAACACAAGATAGCTGTCCTAGTTAGAGTTTCTATTGCTGTGATGAAACACCATGACCAAAAACAAACTGAGGAGGAAAAGGGTTTATTCAGCTTACACTTCCACATTGCTGTTTGTCACCAAAGGAAGCCAGGACAGGAACTCAAGAATGGCAGGAACCTGGAGGCAGGAGCTGATGCAGGTGCATGGAAGGGTGCTGCTTACTGGCTTGCTCAGCCTGCCTTCTTATAGAATCCAGGACTCAGATGGCCCTACCCACAATGGACTGGGCCCATCAATTACTAATTAAGACAATGCCCTATAGGCCTGTCTATAGTCTGATCTTATGGAGGCATTTTCTCAATTGATTCCCTCCTCTCAGATGACTTTAGCTTGTGTCAAGTTGACATAAAACTAGCCAGAACAAGTTTTCTACACTCAGATAAAGACTGAAAGACTGAAGAAAAGGCACTTTCTCAATTGCTAGTAAGATGACCAAACAGAACTGCCTTCCTGGAGGGTACTTTTGTCTCTTTTAACACAGCGAAAGAACATCCTTTGGCCATTTGCAATCTTTGTGTGCACACACATGCATGTCTCTGTAGCTGTGTGATCATTTCTATCGTGGCATGGGAGGCAAAGGACCACATCTGGAGGGAAAATGCCCCTCCCCAGTGTACTGTGGCTGAACTTAAATGCATCTACTATGGTTTGAGGAAGAGTGATGGGCTTGTTCCCAGGGTGGTGCTACTGAGAAGTGGAGGAGCTTGTAAGGAGGAGACCTGGCAGGAGGAATTTAAATAACTGCAGGTGTGCCCCCAAATAGAACTGTGAGGCTCCAGGCCCTTCATCTTCCTTTTGCTTCAAGGTCATGAATCATGTGACTTTTGCTCTACCATGCTCCTGTCATCATGTGACCTCACAACAGGTCAAAAGTAGTGGGGCCTACCAGTCACAGACTGGATGACTCTAAAACTCTGAGGAAAAATAAGTATTTTCACTTTAGACATGGGTCATCCATCTTAGTGTTTGTTACAGTAACAGAAAGCTAACTAGTGCAGGAAATTAGCCTAGAGAAGAAGACAGGTTTTTCCTGCTGCCACAGACCTGATTACTGAATGACCTTTGGAGATGGTGTGCCAGAGGAGTGTGGGAAGTAGAGGCAAGCCAGAGTGAGGCCAGAATGCTGGTAAAAACCCAGAAAACACGGCAATGCCAAGGAAGTATACTGTGAAAAAGAAAACGGACTGGGAACTGGACACGAGGCCACCCTTGTCACACTGTGACAGACAATCTGATTGCATCTTGCCCACTTTGTGTGCGGCAGAGATGCAAAATGATGGACTGATTTACCTGGTGGTGGAACCTTCACGTAAGCCAAGCACATGATATGCAGCAGCAGCAGGACTGTTTATGGTGAGACTCAGAAGCCAAAAGCAATGGAGTAGAAAGATTTGAAAAGAATGCAGCCCAGAAGCTGGGAAAATGCTCAGCAGGTAAGATTGCTTCCTGCTCTTCCAGGGGACCTGAGTCCAGTTCGCAGCACTCACTGAAGTTTAGAGTTAATTTACCAGAGCCACAGCATTATAGATGTCAGACCAGGGATGTTCGAAACATCAGCCTGACACCTAGCAAGTGGAAGCCAGCCTGCCTGACAAAAAAGAAGCTTCCGCAAGAATCCAGAAATCGCCAGCCTGTGAGACTGCACTCTCAAAGCATTCACTACTTAGACAACTGAAACTTGGACACAAGAAAACAAAGAAACGATACTTTTCTAAATGTCAGTAAGATCTAAGGAAGAGCAAGGCCAAAAGTTCTTCACATGACCTTCTAGCAGACCCCAAAGGAAAGGGGACAGGACTGATGAGGAAGCACAGAGCCACCAGGAAATGAACCAAGCCGGCAACAACACAGATGGACGCCTGCACGGTTGTGTTCCCGAGACCACATGAGGAAATGTCCGGAACTGGACATTTTTAAATTTCTTTAAATTTACCACAGTATCAGTTATTCTTATCGACATTGCTATGCAAACATGTAAACAAAATATGGAGGCCTCAATATTTTTATATTACAAATATAAATATGATCCATTAAACTTTAAAAAGGGAGTATGACTTCTGAGACTACTGTGTATAGTATGAACCCACTGATTTAGAAACCAGAGTCTATGTATCAATAAATATTTAAGCTGGATGGTGGTAGCACATGCCTTTAATCCCAGCACTTGGGAGGCAGAACCAGACAAGATTTCTGTGAGTTCAAGGCTAGCCTGGGCTACAGAGTGAGTTCACAGAGAAACCCTGTCTCGAAAAACAAAATAAATAAATAAATAAATAAGTAAGTAAGTAAGTAAGTAAGTAAGTAAGTAAATATTTGCCTGTGTATGGGGACAGGCCCAACTTGATAATAGGAGCTAACTGAACCATGTAAACATACAAAACTTCATGCCCTCAGCAAGAAATAGTTTTAGAACAGTGAACCTATCTTTCTTTCATAACAAAGGAAGAGTCTCTTTAAAAGCGTCATCCTAGGTCTTATCTCTTAGAAATTGTAGGCAACATCATCTTCTCTCCAAAATAGGGATTACACAAAGTTTCCACTGCTCTGGTGGCTCTGGGAACTTTCCGGGTATAACAGCTTATTTCCATTCAAATCATCTGCTTTGGCGAAGGTGCTATCTCAGCCAGTGGCTAATGAGTTACTCTCTCAAGCTTTTACCAATATTTACCTTAGTTCAAAATATGGGTGGCTAAGGTTAGCTTTGTTCACATTAAAGAACACAGCCGGCCAGCCTCTGACTCCCAGTCATCTGGAGCCTGGGCTCGGCACTCACATACCTGTTCACCTCTGCCCGAGGAAGCCCACTGTACAGCTCCATCATGTTCACTGCGGATGCCGTCTCCCACCCGTTCAGTAGCAGCCGTTCCTTCTGAAAGAGGGTGGAGAGGCATGGATGATTCTCAGCATGTACCTGAGCCTCTAAGGCACACAGGATTTCTCTGAGCTGTGTTTCAAAAGCCCATATCCAGTCCATTTTCTTTTCGGTTTGCCATTTTCTATATGCACATGGGGAAACCCACTAGAGTGTAGAGACACACAGAAAAAAATTCTTCTATGAACAACAGTTATTTGGTTGGTTGGCTAGATGGCTGGTTTCAGAGTTTTGCCATGTAGTCTACGCTGTTTTGGAGCTTGCTAGCCCAGGCTAGTCTCAAACACATGATCTTTCTGCCTCAGTCTACAAGTGGTAGGATTACAGGTGTGAGCTACCACACTCAAGTTGAGCAACATGCCATTTAGTAGTCATGTGACAAAGTTTATTTAAATGGCATCAGGTATGGGAGATTATCTCCAGCAAATAAACAACCTTTTCTTTTGTAAAGGGACTACTACAGATTAAGAGAGACACGAAACTATATTAATCACCTACAAAGTGTAGATCATGGATAGATGCCAAGTCAAATACAGTAACTACAAACATGCTTGTAAACTCTCAGGAAGAGCTGAAGCTGGTCTGAGAATCAGATGCCTGAACGAGCTATTGGGGAGTTGAGGGGTGATCACGGTAACATTATCCTGGAAGGAAGTTCAACAGTAGAAGGGCCTTTTGTTTTTCTCTAACAGTCCTGGCACTTGCTTTGTAAACCAGGCTGGCTTCGAACTCACAGAGATCCACCTGCCTCTGCCTCCCAAGTGCCGAGATTAAAAGACGTGCACCACCACTACCCGGCTTCAGTAGCAGGGTCTTTAACAAGCACTTAGGGTGAAAACACATATTGTCTAGTTTATGTCTAAAAATATTCTGACCACATCAACAAATACAATCGTGGTGGGGTAAGAGACAATACTGAAAATACTAAGAATTACTGAAGCTGTGACAGGATATAAGTGTTTGCTGTACTGTTCTTTCTACTTTTATGCTAGTCTGAAATTTTGCATAATATAAAGTGTGCAAAAAACCTGCATAATGAAAATAATGAGCTGTAGGGACTGTCAATTTGTGTTTTCTACAGCAAGGGGACAGGCAGGACTTGAGTTTTCCTACCATCAGGAGCACTCTGCCTGTGTCACAGGCAGAACAGGGCTTTTCATGGTGTGTCTGCCATGGAGAGTGTCCTGCTTTGCTGGCTAATGAAGGAGCAAGTGTTCAGCATCTGCTCTGACCTGCGACTCCAGTGACTTGCAGGTCTCTACTCCTGCCAGGTCACACTGTCGCCTCCGGAGGTTTTCAATCATGATCTGCCCAAACCGGTCATCCATGTTCACCTGAGAAGGAAAAAGCTGGTTAGCCACAACCTTAAAGGTCTGTGTCCTAAATAAGCAACAGACACGGCCAGTCAAGGCTGACATTTGGTGGCATGCCCGGCAGCAGCTCAGCAGGGCTGTGAGACACAAGCTGAGCTGGTGCCCCCCCAACCCCCCCAGGGCAGCACACACCCACTTACATGCCTGCCTAGTGCAACAATTCCATTGCTGCCAGAGAGGCTCATAGACATGTTCAAAGATGCAAGCTTTGTGTAACTGGAAGACTATGGGAAGAAATACCTATTAAGTTCAATCAATTCTATTACCTTCATAAAATGAAATATCATATAGCTGTGAAAGCAGGCAAGAAAAATATAGAGATAGGCACAGAATGACTTTAAGATAAACTCTTAAAAGCAAAGTATAGCCGGGCAGTGGTGGCACACACATTTAATCCCAGCACTCAGGAGGTAGAGGCAAGTGGATCTCTGTGAGTTTGAGGCCAGCCTGGTCTACAGAACTAATTCTGAGACAGCCAGGGCTACACAAAGAAATCCTGTCTTGAAAAACCAAAAACCAAAAACAAAGAAACAAACAAAAAAGCAGCAGCGAAGTGCAGGACTCATGAGAGGGCTCAGCGGTAAAGTCACTTGTTGCCAAGCCTGATGACCTAAATTCAATCCCAGGATGGTGGAAGAGACCCAACTCCCACAGGTTATCCTCTGACTTACACACACACACACACACACACACACACACACACACACACACACACACACTCACCATGGCACATGTGTGCCCATATATCTGCAGAAACCTATACAATAAATAAATGTAAAAAACAATTTAAGAAGAAGCAAGGCATAGAGAAATCTGAACAGAACGTTACCATGTGCTTTCAAGAGGCAAACGAACCTGTCTTTACTGCATTTAACAAGCATGTAACACAGCAGGCAGCACAGTTTCCCAGGCAGAAGACTAAGGTCTAGGGTCAGAGAGAGATCTGTTCGTCTTGATAGAACCTTTCTTATTGTTTGGTCTTTGTTTCTGAGATAGTCTCTTGCCTAAATGGGCCTTAAATTGGTGTCTCTCCTGCCTCAGCCTCCTGAGGGCCAGGAGACATGGTGCTACTGCATAGTGTCATAGCATACACACCAGAACCCTGTCACACACAAGGGAATAAAAAGGCATCACTTTACCAGTAAGATCCCCTCCTCCAAAGCCAGACCAGCAGCAATGCTAGCCTCTCTCATGTGCCTCAGGGCAGAAGGTGTCTGAGCACATTCTTCCTCACTGTGTTGCCTGGGTTTGAATCCTGGCTTGACAATAGCTGTGACCCTGGAGAAACTGGGCAACTTAACTCTATCAGGACAGTACTAACACCAGCCTTATGGATTTGTATGATAACGAAGTAAGCAAATACATGGAGAACTTAGAGCAGTGCTGAGCACAGGCATGTGAAAGCCCAGTGTGTGCTGTTATCACCTCATTAACCAACATGGCTTTGTCACTGTAACAAGATACTAGGAAAAGCATGTCAGCAACTCATCTACATTGTGAGGCTGCTGGTGGCTGACGACTGCTGATTTAAGTTTCGTTTCTATTGACAAAGTGAAGGTGGTGGGAGCTGAACCAGGTGCGGACAGCTGGACAGTACACTGAAATCTGGCACGGTCCCAGGCGTGCTCCAGAGTGGAAGGCCTTGAGTCAGAATCAACCCACCACCTTCCAGAGCATGCTAGACAAATGCTTCTGGACAGAGTACAGAAGAGGCACACAAACAAAGCAGAACACACAGGGCAGACATGTGGCAGTCATTCTCCACGGGTGAGAATCCTAAAAGCAGACCGTGCCCCAGAGACAGTCACATCAACAGAAAGCTGAGGGCTAGCTTCCATGAGCAGTGGCCCTGAAGGGAAGACAGGCTAAGGAATGTTTGCAGTTCTAAAGTGGGAAGGAAGACAGTCAGCCAACCAAGAACCAGCGACTCTAGAACCCAAACCCAGACCGGAGTTGGGAAGGAGGTACTGAAGTCCAGTCTAGCCTGGACCGGCCCACAATTATATTACATGGCCAAGTCTTCTCGCTGTTCTTACATGCAATGAAATAAAAACGAAAGGATAAAGTGGTTGAGGTAGAGCAACACAGTGGGATCCCGTTACAAAGAGAATTGTTTTAAAAAGCTGGTTATTGGGGTGCACATTTGGAATCCCAACACTTGGGAGGCAGAAGGAGGATGATCACCCAAGTATGAGGCTAGCCTGGTCTCCACTGCAAGTTCCCAGCTAGCCAGGGTACACAAAGAGACTATCTCAAAAAAACTAAGTAAGTAAATAATAAAAACAGCTAGCATACATTCTGCTTGTTATTTGCCTACTGCTGTACAGCATCTCATGAATTTCTACAAGGTAAGCACGAAACAGCAAAGAACTGTGACTAGGAAGGTGGCTCCACGGGCAAGAGTTTGCTTCACAAACCTGAAGATCCAGTTCAGATGCTCAGTACCCACATAAAAAGACAGTCTGACCACTGCAACTATAATCCAGGGCTTGGGGGTTGGAGATGGGAGGATCACCGGGGCTGGGCTGGCCACTCAGCCTAGCCAAAAACGTGCAAGCTCCAAGTTCAGCGAGAGACCCCATCTCAGGGGAACATGGCAGAGAGCAACAGAAGCCTCCACATGGTGCTTACGGGTATATAATCGCCCCCAGCCTGCAGCAGGAAACAACTGGAGCACAGAGCAATTTGAACAGCCCACACTTACTGAACTGGGGCAGTGCCGCAGGTGCAAATGCACAGACTAACTCACGCGTGCCTCACAACACACTAGCAGGCAGGGCTATCACTATTCTCAATCAAGGAAACAAAGGCACACAGCGTGTATGCAACGTGGCCTCATCATACAGGACTCAGACTCAAGCCGGATCATCTCAAAGCTCCCGAAGGGTTTTTGTTTTGTTTTTCTGCAGCCACTAGATCCATGTCAGTGATTGTAGGAATAGGGCATTTTACACTAGAATACAGGAGCATATCAAACTTCCCTTACAAAATCAGGAGCTCTTGCAACTCTAGGTCAAATGCCCACATGAAACTCCTGGCTGGACCTAAGGGGTGGCCACTCCAGGCCCATGAGTCCCCATCCCTCCACACTGTTCACAAGTGGCCACTCTAGGCTGCCTCAGTCCCCAACCTCCACATCATTCACAAGAGGCCTCTCCAGCCCCCTCAGGCCAGACCTTCCACACTACTCATAAGTGGCAGCCCCAGGTCCCTTAGTCCCCATCCTCCACACCAGTCACCAACAGTCAATGTCTTCTACTCACATTCCTGCCTGTCTAAGGGCCTTTGAGTTGCTCCTCCTTCTAATACAGCCAAAATTACCTCAAGCCATGTTCTTTGCCTCTGTAGACAATACAATTATAGCTGAGAGTTTTCCTGGGTCCCCCTGGTGCACAGCCACTCAGACCCAAATCAACACACACAGGCTAATATTATTTTTAAACTATGGCCATGGCAGGCTTCTTGCTATCTAGTCCTTATATCTTAAATTAACCCATTTCTATCAATCTGTAAGTTGCCACATTTTCTGTGGCTTTACCTGTGTCCCATTGTACACTGCTCCTTGGGTGGTTGGCTGATGTTTCTCCCTGCCTTCTTCCTGTCTCTCTCTTTGAATTTCCCACCTACCTCTAAGCTGCCTTGCCATAGGTGAAACAGCTTTATTTATCAACCAATCAGAGCAACACATATTCGCTGTGTACAGAAAGACATTCCCCCCATCATACAATGATAAAATAAAAATTTGAAAACTTTCCCCAAGAATCAAGTTCCAAAATCTCTGCTAATAGCTGGTGGGCAGTCAAGAAACTAAGAGAAAAGGGCTGCAGACAGAGGGAACTGAAAAGGAAGGACAGAGGCAAAGCTATACTGGAAGGAAGCCCAGGTAGAATCCACCTTTCAGGAGACTCTTACCTGTTCGTAGTTTATGAACATGGCCGTTTTAAAACTGTTGGCTGCCCATTTTAGGAGGCTGGCTGACTGCTCTGGAGTCATGTAAACCAGCACACATTCAGTTATCAGGAGTGTTGGCAACCTTAGGGAAAAAGAAAGCAGGTAAGTATGTTTTCATCAAGTCAAGACATCAGCTTACGCAAGCGTTGGAGCACTGGCAGTTCACATTCAAGAATCCAGACACAGCAGCACTGTATGGTCAATGTCGTCTCGTACAACTCGAGAAGAGAGAAAGAGGGGCGGAGGTCAGTCTATCTTATGAAAGTGAGTTCTTTGGTACATGGGTGGACTGCAGAAAAGGAGACAGATCTGCTGCTGCTGTGCACCTATTGTCCTGGGGCAATGGAACCCTGAAGATTCTCCTATCACAGGAGTTTATTCTTCCCTGGAACTGGTGCTGCTTAGGCTCTTGTTCTGGCATAAGGACAGCAGCAAAAACAGACAGTGTGGCGATGACCCACAATGGAACCTGACCTCTTCCTACAATGGAATCCTGACAGAAAATGAGTGAACTCCAGGTGATGGGAAGAGAAGGAAGCATCTTGGCTGATGGTCTCTAGCCGGCCCATCCGCTGGTCGCTCTAGCGGGCCTTTAGAGCTATCAGCATGCCTGGACCCAAGAAAGAGCTACCCAATCCAGCCAGCATCCACCGCCAACTCACAGGATCCTTAGCCACATGTGATACGCAGAAATTTCTAATATTCACTTAACAGAATCTAATCCCTCTTAAGTGAAGGCTTGCCATAAAGAGCTGAAAAACAAAGACTTGGAGTATAATTCAGTGGTTCAGTGCTTGCCTAGCATGTACCAGGCCCTACATTCCATCCCCATCACTAAATAAAAAATAATTTTAAAAGCTAAAAACTATGTTGTTTTGAATGGTTATGCTCTTTAAGAAATTCCATTAATAGTATGCACTGATCTACCAGACACAAAGTAACAATACATTATGAAACAGTAAGACAATACATCCCTATAGAATTCAGAAAGCATACTTCTTTTTATATTTTTTTACACCTTCACATATGTATGCCTTGCACACCGGCCACTCTCACCCCGTCACCACTCCTCTCCCCTCCTCAACTTCCAACAAATTTCTCTCTCACATTCCTGTTTGTTCATTTTGTTTTGTGATCCACCAAGACTCGCCAGGGCCATCAGTGTGAGCATGGGTTTGGAGCTGTCTGTTGGGGCCTGATGGGCTCAGCCGCAGATCTACAACTATAAACAGCAATCACTCCTTTCCCCAAATGATCAATACCAGTAGCTCCGGGCAGAGGGCAGGGCTCTGTGAGCCCCTCCTCCCTGGACCGGCTGTTGACAGGAGTGGTCCTGTGTGGATCAGTACACGCAGGAACCCCGGTGATGTGAATCAATGACTGGAACAGTTGTGTCAAGCCCAAGGTGTGGCACTTCCTAGCCCTTTACCCTGTCTCCTGGCTCTTACACACTTCCACCCCCTCTTCTACAACACACTCTAAGGCTTAGCAAGGTGGTAGGAGTGACTTGTCTAGGGTGGACCCACATCCAGCATACCGCCACACACTCCGCTGTGCTTCTAGAACATCCCCACTGGTCTGTCCTTAGTCATTTACATTCCTTCTGACTCCTTTGCTAGGCCCCACCCCTCCCTTCACCATAAGTAGCTACAGTCCCATGACTGGCTAGTTCTCCAAAATTAAGTGCCTTTCTTTTGTCTTTAATTTCAGATTGTGGAACAAATAAACTACATGAAATCAAATGATAACAGATCAGAAACGGATAAAAAAGAACATAATGTATCTTTTAATGTATTACTACAAAAACTGTAATAATATCTACACACCAAAATTAGAAGTTATTCATAATTTCTCCTCTAAGAACCATCAGCAACAACTAAAATTAGAGAAATGTAATTTGTATCTCTGGTTTTCTGTTTGTTTTCTGAGACAGGGTCTCACTTTGAAGACCAGGCTGGTGATGGTCCTCCAGCCTAAGGCTGGTAATATTGGTATACACCACCACACCCAGCCAGTTCTCTCATTTTCTTTTTTTCTGTTTTCAGTACTGAGGACTAAACCCAGGGCCATGTGCATGCTAGGCAAGTCCCCAGCCCCATTTCTCAGATTTTTAAAACCCAGTTACCATTCCTATAAACTTGTAACATGGATTGCTGGGTTCTGATATTATTCCAGTAGCCCAGAGAGAAAACTGTAGAAATACAGCGGTGAAATAAGCTGCTCACAATCACATCCTAGTATACACTGCTATTAGAAGTACAATCTGTTTAACTGGACATGGCACCTACACTCCTAACTGCCATCAGGGAGAAAAGAAACGGTGTCCACAGCGAAGTCTGGCACTGACGTGATAGTACCAACCGGCCACTGTTTCCCCTGGATTCCACTTTGGCTTTTTAAACAGTGAAATGAGCTATACCTCCACTTAGCTAAGATGCACATCCAATGCTCACAGGAACACTGGCCAGTCTCCACACACGTCTGTCTACATGGGTGGGCGCAGAGAAAAGGACACCAGGAGTCTTCCTCTATTCACTCTGACCTTACTGCTTCTCACAGAACCAGAAGCTCTCTCTGCGTTTTGGCTAGGCCGGCCGGCCAATCATACCAGGATCTACCTGCTCCTCCCCAGCACACTGAGGTTACAGGCACACACAAGAGCTCCCACCCACTGAGCCATCTTCCCAGCTCCACTGGACACCTTCCACCCAATGCAGCTGAATCACAGCACAGAAGGGGAACACTGAATCCAGGGGACAGAAGTTAAGTCTGTGCTGCAGACATGGGCACTAGCAGAAAGCAAACCACTGGAAGGAAGGTTGTTTTCCCGACTAATAAATAAGCTAAATCTACAACCTCAAGTTACACGGTCGGGGGGAAGCTCAGCCAGCATCCCCTGGGTTCTCCAGCAGTACACAGACCAGGCATGGCGGTGCAGGCCTGCAATCTCAGCACTTGCAGGGGTGGAGAAAGGAAGATCAGAAGTTCATGGTCATCCTTGGCGGCATAGCAAGTTCAGGGCCAGCATGGGGTACACGAAAACCATGACACAAAACCAAACAAGACAAACAAGCAAAACAAAACAAAATCTCATATTATTAGAAAGGTTACAGAAAATGAGAAAAACGGTATTACCTTATTTTATCTAATAAGTCAAGTCAATGACTAAAGAAATACAGCCCAAACTTTAAAAATAAAATCCTTAACTACACTTATTTATGTGTATGTGTGTGGAGGTCAATCTGTGGGAATCAGTTCTCTTCCTCCATCATGTGAGTCCTGAGGATCAAACTCAGGTTGCCGGGCTCAGTGGGAAAAGGCAATCATTATTATATAAGCTATGGACAGAAGGGAAACTTCATGAAAAAGACTGAGTGTTGTCAACTTCACAGAATCTAGAGCCACCATGGAGACAGGCCGCTGACAATACCTGTGGGGAATTATCTTGATTGAGCTAATACTCCTGATGATGAGGGTGCCACAGTTACCTAGGAGCATCTGAGCCCATCAATACTCCTGATGATGAGGGTGCCACAGTTACCTAGGAGCAT